TGCATGATATACATTGTAACCCAGGTAATCTCTTTGTTTTTCTTTAACTGTTCATACAAACTGACTCTGACTAACTCTGATCTCATTTTGATCAAGATTATTGGTCAATATTATTACTGCATGTAATGGGCCAACACCTTTACTAAATTAAAAACTCTATTTACTGCAGAAGCAGCACATGTATATGACCCCGCTTGAGATCTTGAAGAGATCCATGTTCCACGTTAGCTTTGTACATTTGTAAATTTTGACATTTGACCAAAAAGATTGTGGACTAATAACAGGGCTGGGGGTGCGATAGCTTTCCAGGGGGCTTGAATCATGTGTGTAAGCTCATAAACAAAAGTGAGCTAATTATGGTGACTGACAGTTCCGTGAGCTTCTTGTTTTTGGGGTGGGGGGGTGATGTACACGTGTCTAGGATGATGGGCGTTGTTCCGGAGTGGGGAAATGAAATGTAAAATGGTCACGCGCAATTAAAATGCGAGCAGCTAAATGCGCTGCGCAGGAGATGCCGAGTCAGAGACGCCTCACTGCATGTGTGAAGTGAGAGAGGGGGGGTCCGTGGGGGTAACGACGCCCACAGCACCTGCCCATGCCTCAGCAGTCTGTCGCTGCAGCTCCGTGTGAGCGCTCGGACCGCCGTGGCCCCGCCGTGCCGCTCTCGCCCCACCCTCGCTCGGCCTCTCTCCCTCCCATTTTCCATCTGCGTCACACTCCCGTTCCCCCCTCCCTCACCACGGAACCGAGAGGCCGGATGATGGTTTGCTTCTCTTTGGAAAAGTCCAGACACCGTAGACCTACAGGTACATATAAAGGACATTTCCATTTGTGGCTCTAGATGTATGAATCATGTGGTCATCAGGTGGCACAGTGACCTCACTCCTGGGGTGGTCTGCGAGTGTGTGGCCTGTGATGCACTGGGATGCTGTTCTATGTAATGTGTCCCTGCATCCCACAATGGACCACCTCCACACCCCCTGTGACCCCGTATTGGATCAGCAGTATCAAAGGTGGATGGATGTACGTATCACGCTGTATGTAAAAACACAACCATGCATGATGTGCCATCCTGTTCCATAAGAGCTTATTTAATAGGTTTACTGTGTACAGCCCAGCAGTAGGAAGTGCGTGGAGCACTCAGCCTGCCTCAGCTCCTCCTCCGTGGCCCAACAGAAGGAGCTCTGTCACTCTGCGGCATGTGACGGGTAATGAGACAGGAAGCTGGAACATCTCAGATGGAAACGGAGACCTGTTGACAGTCACTGTTTCACTGAATCACTGTGTCTATCCCCCTGGGGCTTCTGGGAATAGCGCACACCTAGGGGATGTGATCACCTTCCTTCTGTGGAGCTCACAAGGTTAACGTGAGTAAGGGGCGGCGTGTCTTTGCGTGTGCGCCTCCGTGTGTGTGGGTGTCTGTACTAGAGTTGCGTATATAATGTCACATCTGAACCATAGAAAAGAAGAATGAGCGCCAAGTCTCTCTTATGCAATCCAATCAACGTGTTTGGCTCACATGCTGCTCGACTTGAGTCGAGTCAAGTCAGAATCATAACCTCAGAAGTTGTAAAGAGCTAACAAAGAGTGAAAACAGAGCCAACCAATCAAGAGTGAGCCAATCAACGGTGACTATGCTGGCTTAGAATCAATCTAGAGTCAAACCAGAATCAACCGCAACTGCCGAATTAGTAAAGAGCAGGTATTGAGTCAAAGCAAAGCAAACCAATCAAGAGTGACTAAGCTAGTTTAGCGTCAGTGCATAGTCAAACCGGAATCGATCACTGCAGAATCAGTAAAGAGCTGGAAGAGAGTCAAAGCAGAGCCAACCAATCAACAGTGACTAAGCTGGTTTAGAATCAGTGTAGAGTCAGTGTAGGACTTTTACTCAGTTGTTAATTCTGGTCGTACGCCACTAGTAGAGTGCATAAGCTATCAATTAGACTTCAGAAATCTCATAGCTATGAGATGTGCTGCCTGTGCATACAGAGGCCAGAGGTACATGTCCTAGATACTACCAGCCCAGAATAAACATCTCAGTGAGAAGTTCTCGCTGTCAGACGCTGTGTCTGATGTGGCGGCCGACTCGATGAATCATTGAAGGGCTAAAAGCCGCAGAATGGAGGGAAATGCTTCCTGCAGGACCGGAGCCGGCTGCCTGACCCCTGACCGCAGCCCACGTGTGGATGGATGCTGACAGGCCGCGTCTATGACCACAATACGCCAATTCATCCCGTCCTCCATTCCTAATCCGTTTGTGTTTGCCTACGTTTTGTTTCTGATGCCTCGCATAGCCGGGTGCGTCATACATCTCAGCCCCGAAGTTCTCTAAGACGTGCGTCCGCACATGCAGCTGCCGAAGGGAAGCAGGTCGATTAAGCGCTCTGCACACCGTCCCCAAGGGGGTTCTTTCAAGTCTCAGTCCTGTTCAGTTATTTTAACCTTAAATGAGCTCCTTGTGCACACAAATTGCCACATTTATTTCACTACATAGAAGGGAAAATAGCTGTTTTGGAGCATCAATGTCTAGATAAGAAACAGCGGTGGCTGGTTTGCATTGGCCGACGTGCTGCTTAGACGGTTAAATGTAATGGGAGCGCGGCCAGTGCCACTCGGAGCTGGGACCCAAGGGAAACATTGGATGATCCTACTAAGTATGCGTTGCTCGGCAACGCCCCCTGATTGGGTTAAGGGCGGATCTGCCACAGGCCAAGGAGCCTGTTGGCTGCATAATTAATCCCCCCCCTCACCCCACCCTGGGTCACTAGAGCTTCAAAGAAAGTCAAGCCTGGAATGAAGGAGAATGTTGGAGACGGTCAAAAAGGATGGAATGGTGCTGTTGTGCTGCCCAGGAGAGGAACCATTGAACTTCTATTTATCTCAGGATGGACAGAGTCCAGGAGGTGGGGTTTTGGGGGGGAAATGCAGGTGCAGCACGTTAATGTATCAATGAGACCACCTGCGATCGGGAGCAGAAAATGCTCTGCCAGGAGGCTGCCAGACTTTCCTTTGGAAGTTCTCAGCTGAAGAAAAAGGTTCCTTCACAGTGACTCTGCGCCAGTGAGTGCAGAGCGGGGAACAGCTAGTATCTCACTGGAGCAGTGCTAGTAAGGATGTGTGTGTGTGTGTGTGTGTGTGAGGTGCTGGTTAGTTAGACACACTGAACATGAATGGGGAGAAGTGAAAGAAGTGTTTAGGAAAGGGATCAAAACTAATATTAGGTATGTATGGCCAATAGCCAGCCAATGTGGGGACATTTTTAGGGGACATCAACATGAGAAGAGCTTTGTATTGACTTTTCATGTTTCACCCATGGTGACATGTGCTTCAAAGATTAGACAAAGCTGTGTAGTTTACAAAATTTATTCATACAAATCTTACAACACTCTTTTCGAACATTTATATACACCCCGTGGGGTGTAGTATAGTATTATAATGGTAACACTTGCTATGATATTCATTTCGTCACACATATCGTATATTTGAATCTCAGTGTTCAGTAAGGCTTTTGGCACTATTAAAAATATACACAGTAGGCTTTATGGGGAGTGATCAATGGATTCTGCAAGCAGCTACTATAATCCTCTCATTTAACACGAAACTGCGATAACATTCATTCAGATTAACCATGGCGAAACTCTAAGCTAAGCGCGCCAACATAAAAAAAAAATTACAGCTTTTAAAACTGAAAGAGAAAAAAAAAAGTTGAAAGGATTAACAAAAGATCAGAGTGTGATCTGATGGGTCTGCAGCATTGTAGGGCCACTCAATAGCCACCGGTGGCCATTTGAAATCTGAAGCAAGGCACCGAAGCCACGAGATGCTTCCTGTTTCATTCCTGAAGGAGGATGGCAGAGTTAGAGGGGGTGGATTCAGGCTCGGGCCAAATCGGACCCAAGCAGGCAGAGGGGAGCATGCATCCTTCTGTGCAAAGTGCCTAAAATCTCTTTCGCTGGGCAATGAAATATTGTCCTGCCAAGTGGCTTCCTAAGGGCAGTCTGTCTGTCCTCCCGAGTGACTTCCTAAGGGCAGTCTGAATGTCCTCCTAAGTGACTTCCTAAGGGTAGTCTGTATGTCCTCCCGAGTGACTTCCTAAGGGCAGTCTGTATGTCCTCCTGAGTGACTTCCTAATGGCAGTCTGTCTGTCCTCCCGAGTGACTTCCTAAGGGCAGTCTGTCTGTCCTCCCAAATGACTTCCTAAGGGCAGTCTGTATGTCCTCCCGAGTGACTTCCTAAGGGCAGTCTGTCTGTCCTCCCGAGTGACTTCCTAAGGGCAGTCTGTCTGTCCTCCCAAATGACTTCCAAAGGGCAGTCTGTATGTCCTCCCGAGTGGCTTCCTAAGGGCAGTCTGTCTGTCCTCCCAAGTGACTTCCTAAGGGCAGTCTGTATGTCCTCCCGAGTGACTTCCTAAGGGCAGTCTGTCTGAGTCTCAGGCGATTCGTGTGTCCTTTTTTCAGTGGAGGTGATCTCAACATTGTTGTCGATGATGATAATTTAAGTTGAGAAATGGCCGTTTTTAAATTACCGGTTCAACTGGAACGAGTCCAATTGTCTTATTTTGTCTCACCAGAGCCAACGCTCTCAATTAGGGGACACTGAACCAAAGTAGTGTTGGTGTGTCTGTCTGACGCCGTGCGATGACATGTCACCACAGTCTGCCCTTCCAGCCTGATGTCTTACAAAGGGATAGTGACCTCTCTGTCTGTCTGGCAGGCAGTGCTTACTAAGCCTAATGAGCTCCCAGACTCAGAGGGCTAAAGAATAAAACAAAGCTTGATATACTCATATTTTGCCTTCTATCTTTTTTTAAAAATAAATAAATAAATAAAAAAGCTAACAAAGACAGAAGTGGCAAATAAGTCCACCAGTAAGTCACACCAGTAACCCATTACTGGAACAGCGTGGTTTGAGCACAGATCGTAAGACAGCAAGTTAAAAAAAAATTAAAAGTGCTCAAAATAAATATGTACCAGATTATTATAATAAAGGAGTGCAAAGGATGCTGGGTACTTTGGGCTGCACCAATCAGTGGCTTTTTACAACCGTTTTAATCTTCCATTCTCACCTTACATTTCCATATTCGTACATATGAGGCACAATTAAAAGAATGAGGAATATTTAACACCTTAAAAATACTTAAGAAATTGTAGAGGGATTTAACAGCAAACAAAACTAAACTGATCCAGTGCAGTTTCCCCCGTTGTTTTCATGACTTGAATGTCCCTCAGCTGTCATACACACAGTTTGCGCTTTTGATATGACAGACACAAAAAAGTTAAATGCTTTGAAGGCTTTAGTAAAATCTGGCAAATACACAAACAGCACTAGAGAGGAACACACTTAGATTCCATCTTGACTCGTGCAAGCATCAAGAAGTACAAATAAACATTCCAAAATGCTATTTTTAAATTCTGCTTTCTTTTTTCATAGGCTTAATGTAAGAATGTAGGACAGCTTGCAACAAACATGTATATGATAAACATTTTAAAGATAGTGTTAAGAACCCAAGGTAAAAAAAAACACCATTTCATGTTATCATATAGTTAAGAGTGTTTGTGGGATTATTTAACTCCAATTTAGACGATACATAAACATGTATCTATAATATGCGTATACAGGTGGCTATAGTAATATTTCCACTTTCAGAAAAGTGGGAGAGGCCCTGCACTCAGAAAAGACTTAAAGCGTAAAACTTAGGGAAAAGGGGTGAACTTACTGCACTCAACTGCTCTAGAAGTATCCCCCCTCGGCCAAAAAGGCTGAACAGCCATTCCAACCCACAGTGCTTCTAAATCTCTATCAAGTCTCCATATCTGCTGTCAAGGAAAACACTAGTCCTTCAAATTTCGATTACAAAAATAAATAAGAGCAACACTCAGTTCCGATTGTCTTTTGAAAATCAATTCCTTCAGTCAATTTGCATATTCAAAGAACGTTGAAAGATGGACAGTACGTTCCTTTCCCCCATTTTAAACGTTAGAACTAAACATCCATTTATATACTTATAGATATATCAACTCACAAATCAGGCCTATATATGTGCGGTTTCAAGTGCTCTTGTACAAATGAAAAACAATAATATTATTAAAATATGTATTTTAATGGCTTTACTTGATACATAAATACATGTTTAGAGAACACAGGAAGCGATCCGCGGGTTGTTGGTTGATTTCAGGGTTTATACACAGGACAGTTTGGTTAATAAGCGCTACAAGTAAGAGAAGCGGCGTCCTTTGTTGCGAAATTTCTGTCTATACCTTCTCCCCAAGACGGCTGCCAAGTACTTCTTGACTGCCATTTGCTTTCGGTACCGGCTGTAACTGTCCGTGAAGATCCCATCCGAGTGCCGTTTGGAGAGCGGCTCTGAATCGTCTTCCGTATCGCTGACCTCCCTGAAAAACGGGGGAAAAGGTGATTATACAGTGCCACCTCCCACCCACCCCCCGGTTCCCAGTACACTTTCGGCAAACGTGAATACAGTGCATAAATAAACCCGTCGACGGATGGCAGTTTGTTAGAAACGCGAATAACAAACCTTTTTGTGATGTCAGAGAAGCAGCGAGTGATCTGTAAGAACGACTGAACTCTTTAAACTATTAGACTAATATAAATAATTCATAGTACTCCTTTAACGCACTCGTCCAATTACACTACGATCGCTGATTTAAAGAAGCAAATGCATCTATCCTCTTTATTTATGCAAAAAAAAAGTACCGATTGTCTCTGTTTTTTTTTTTAAATAAATAAATAATTGACAGCTAATTAGATTGAAACGCGCGTTGGGCGCCGAATGCATCTTCAGAAGCACGATAAAGGAAAAATCTCCCGGCCATCCGCCGCAAAGCCGAGACGTGATGAAATGCTGTCACATGAAATAATGTCTCCGCTGTCCACCCCTATTGTGATAATACGGACGGCCAGGAGAGACGCTAAATCTCCTTACCCTGCACGCTTCGTCATCAGAGAATGCAGATATTTCCTCGCTGATAACTGAGCCCAGGTCGTTCGTAAGGGTTTGGTAAATATTCCGTATGCTAGCAGCTCCGCTCTGGGAAGCCGGGAGACCCAGTGGACGGCGTCCTACCGGCATCCCGTAGTCAGGTTTCAGTATCTGCATCTCATATACACGTCTACAGTGTTCTTACCCTGCATCTACCTCCTTTGATATCTCTACCTCTCTTTTGATTTCTCCTAACGATCTATTCTAGGATTATTTGATTTGTTCAGCCTACTTGTTAACTTGGATTACGTTTAAACCGAGGCTAAAAAAAACAATAATCAGAATGCACTGAACATTAAAATAATTCAAACAGGCCTAAACGGGAGGATTGTGATAAAGTGGGCCTAATTACCTTTTCTCCGGTGAGTAGTACAGCGTGTAAAGATCATCTAGGAAATAGGGGGAACTCCGTATCGCCATTTCATCTGTACCGAAAGCCCAGTCTGTTAACGAGTTTCCGTCTTCGTCGTACACTTCGTTTTCAAGTCTGAAATAAGAAATCACAAGCTTGTTTTAATAAAGCTTGATTCCTGATAAAAAGGCATATTTGTAAAAAAAAAAAACATTTTCAAGCAGATTTAATGTAAACAGATTTAATGTAAACTTTTCAACATAAATAATCAAAAGAAATTGTTTAGATTTGCATCTTACTTCAATGCACCAAGGTTAAAACGCATGCTAGAAAAAAAGAGAGAAAGAACGAAAATGATATAAAAAGTCATTCCAATATTTGTAACCAACTTGCATCAATTGATTCACCAATTGTGCTAATCTATTATGGACCAAAAGGCCGAGTACCTTTATAATAAGCCTCCTTTTAAAACGTACACCGTGTAGCTTACAGATCTTGACGAGGCATGATGACATAATGGACGCTTATTTTTATATAGATAAAAATTATGACGGTAACCTATGACTATAAAGCCATAATGTAACGCAACACTTCACAGTCGCGCCTTCACGTTGACGACACAACCCTACCTAAGAGAGGATGGTTCCTTGACTAACACTCACTGACAGTGCAATGTCCATGGTGAAATCCAGGCGATTTATATTCACCGAATAGTCAGCCTATATTCCGAAGGCATCGCTATCCTTTCAATCAGGTTTCGACAAAGTCCCGAATATGATTTTTCGTTTTTTTCGTTTTCCTTTTTTAAAGTTCTCTTTACATGCTCACATTTAGAATTAAAATCAATCTATCACACATTTATCAACCTCAGATCGTTCTGCCGTAATCTATTAATGACTGCATGATTACTTTTGCTTTGTTTTCTGACATAACATTATAGCCTACGTTATTTGTTAACTCTTTTGTGGCGTTTCTACATCACGATTTAGTCATGCGTTTAAAAACATAGTAGGACAAAGAACCCATGGCAAGATGCTAAAAGAGAAGCAAAGGAGGGATCGTCCATGTTTACCTACCTAATCTTAGGGTACTGAAGCCCAGCTGGTGAACATAAGGCGCTGTACTGCGTTATGATTCCGTAGATTAGTAATACTAAAGTAGCCTTACTGGACATGGTCATTCTGCGAAAAAAATACCAGAGAGTTAAATATGGATACCTAAATTCTCCATATTCATGTTTTCTTGCATTATTATTCATAGTTAATTCAATTATCAAATGCGTAGAAATTGTAAAATCATCTGCAACTAATTCTCATCGGACCTTCAACACACACTTGATAAATACTCTACGCAACAAATGAGTCGCTTAAGTAGAAAAAGGAGATCATTTGGAGATAATTAAGCCACGAATGTTATCTTTGCTCTTAAAAAGTTTCGTGGATTCTATACAGGTGCGTCTGTCTCCGTTGGATTGAAAAGTAAAACGGGCATAAAAGCAAATCTTCGGGTGTAGAGTATCCTGGGTTCTGCTGAAGTTTCTTCATCGGGAAATCTCCATTTAATCCGCCTTTGCGGACCGAGTCGCTTGGCACATACCTATTGCCGAGTCGGTAGCCTGAAAGGTGGATCCGGGCGAGGCTTAGGTTACTCTACTGTGATAAAATCTTTCTCGCAGAAAATCTTCTCCAAAGCGCCGCCGCCGTCTTCGTTTGTGTCCTAGGGTGTTCTCCACGTATTTAAATAAAATGCAATCGACAGGTTTCTGTGCAAACACGGCTCCTGAAAGGCAATGTAAACATTTGTCTACATATCTTTTTCTGAAGTTTTTGTTCTCTGCACTGATTCCGTCGGATTTTTATCCATGAATCCCGTGGCTGGGCTTTTTTCAATAAGTCACATTAAGGATGCTACAGACGTCATCAACCCTTCCTCCCGGAATATAATAGTACAGGTCCTTCCTCATCGAATCAGTAAGAGCAACTCGCCTCTTGCTGAAGTTTAGTTCAAAACTTATTTTTTCAGACAAAAAAACATTCACCTTTCATAAATTCCACGTATGACATTGTGGTCAAACTGTGGGCGATTTTCGTGACCTTTAATAATAATTAACTTTTAATGATCCGTCAACATATGTATCTCGTTGATTTATTCCATAGCCTTTCTTGAGCGCTCGAGCTTCCTGTGTGCACGTCTGTTTTCGGCAGACTCCGCTGTTATTACACTTTATGTGTACAAATTTACATGTATGTGCTTTGGTCAGATTGACATGGGGAAACAACATTTTCTTGTCTAATAAGTAAAAGGTAATTAACCACAACGATACAAGTTAATATTACTTGTGTTATAAAATATGATTATTGATATTTTTGTCATTTTTATTAAGAAACCCACAAGACTTTTTGTTTGCAATTAATTATTATTATTTACAACGATTTTAAAAATCTTAATGGATTGAGATTAATATAACAATGAAAGTATGCTGTATAGTTCATTTAACTCTTTGTTTATTAATTTAACATAATGGAAACAAAATTATAGTGCAATTATTTACTTATAATAAAATATTTGATTTAGAGAAATAACAGTGAAAAGCTGCAAATGATTCACACCAAGATTTTGTCTGACGCCGTATGACGGACATGAAAGAAATCCGTGTTCTTTTTGGAACTTTTTTTATTAACGCATTTTGATGCTCATGATGTGACGTAAACATCTACACCCTTTGTCAAAGACGTAAGCGTACAGTGCCATCAAGTGGTTATCGAAAAATCCGATTTCCTTTTCTTTTGCCATCATACCTGACTTTTGCGTATATATTCGCGTATTTATAATCGCTCGCGTGACTGTTGAATTATACTCAGGCCTACACATTTGACCCCACGCGGCATGACACTGCCCATCAGGCATGCCGGGCATTTTCCCAGTGGGCCGATAAGTAAGTGGACCGGGAAATTAATCCCCCCCGACCGGTGTGCAAAAGTTACTGCGGGGGACCTTTCCAAATTCATGGGCCGATTTTAAATCCCAGCCCAGCCCTGCTACACGCACACGCTCGTGAACACGCACATATATACGTTTATAGGCTACTATAAATCTATGAATACAGTCGGTGGAAAAAAATCCTCAATACTTAGAAATTGTTACAGTTCAGTGTGTTACTTTATTTTTGCATTAAAATTCATACAGGGTGTAATATATTTATATTTTTAAGTAAATCTTAATCGTATTATGAAATAAATAAAATTACGTGCGGAGATACCTCTTTATAATTTTATCGGTTTTTGTTTTTGCAATTTTAGCTATATTTAAGAATGCCAGCATGCACGAGCTGTTCAAGTTATTGAATTGATCCGAGTTTATTTAAACAATGACGACTTTGTGATATATGTTAGTAACATGTCAGTCTAATATTGTATTAAAAAAAACGACACACAACGACAGCGCATGAAAGCAGTCATTTCTTCCATTCCTATTTCGATATGCCGTATTTGTCCACATGTGGAGTGCATTGAATTATTTTATTAGTATTAAGGATTATTATATCTTTTCGCAGATTGCATGAAGAATAATGCTCCATGTTCGAAACTGGGTTTCTTACACTAACGCAAATGTGTTTTGCGCTAAGAATTCTGATAATTTCACAAGAAAGGGGAAGGACTATATAAAAAACATTTTAATTAAATTTGTATATGACTGGTAATGCACTGAAGAGAATTTGCATGTTCTGTATTGCATACTATTAGGTTAAAATGAAGCTGTGTGAGTTATAGCCTACTATGATATTGATAGTTCTGATATATTTCAAAATACAAAAGAACCGCGTGAACGCGTCTCTGTACGTCACGCGCAGCTTTCCGATAACACTGAGTCAAACATGCTTACCCTATGATTATATGACATTTTATCTGTCTGCTTTCCCTGTGCGTAATCGACTCCCAGAAGAGGTAAGCGCAGGCATCCGATCAAATTAGCTGGAAAGTGGCGCAGCCGGTGGCAAGTTGCCGCGCCATGTGCCTCTAGGGAAGGCGCATCGTTCTCGTTTCATTTATTCCCTTTGCTTATACTTTGGTTCAAGATAGCGGGTCTAGTTCAATCATATATCCTACAAGATGTTTAGAAGTCCACCAACGGTACTTCTTCGGTGAAACCAATCTTAAATTTTCTCCGCAGGATCGTTTAGTTAATGACTAAGGTCTGCGCTTTTAGTTGGCAAGCAAAATGTATTTGTTTTTTGTGCGTTTACCTGGATATTCACTTTTCCTTTTCAACACAACTGTCATTAGAGCTCATTACACTTTGTTATGTATTAAAAATCAAAGATAGTAATCAATATTTAGGGTACGCGGCGTTTAAAACGTTGTGGTATGCCTATATGAAACGGTGAAGTTGTGAAGAGTGTGTTTAAGACTGTTTGCCCATGCACAGTAATATCCCGGTGACTGGAAAGTATTCATAATGTGTTCAGCGACAGTCATTGACAGAATTATTAATCTTGAACACTGCCCTAAAATTGTTTACTTAGGGAAATGGTAATTGAACACAATATATAATATATGAAGACACGCAACGTTAGCTAGTTGCCAAATGTAGAAGCCATTATACCCCGATCAAGCGATTTCACGTCTCGAACCTTGGAATTTGCATTGTGCTGAATCGCAAAACCGTGTCCGTCTTCACACAGGTATTTGTCGTCAATTATAGACGAATCCTCATACTTTTACCTATTCCTGGGACGCTGTATTCTTTGGTAACCTTTCCTTGTATCGGGGCACCGGTTTGAACGTAAGATCAACGAATACTTTTGAAGCAGAATATGTATTAAAGATAAAATTTGCAATTAATGATCTGTACAAAGCCAGAATTATCATTTTGTTATCACAGCTATACCTATACATGAAGTGCGATTTATTTTATGTCGTCGCAGACTTCCGCCTTGTCTCCTTTATGGCTTATAGATCCTAGTTATAGCTCCTCATACTGTATAGCTACTGTACTGACTGAAAAATGTGGAAGGAAACGTGCTTCAAACCATGATCCATTATTATCACATTAAATATTGAAAAGTAAGGTGCTAGATGTGGTAATTAGTCCAGCAAACGGGAATTATATCACGACAGCAAGATTTATAACGCCATTACTGACAACCTGTGAGTCACCCAGTAAAATGCTTACTGTAACTATATCTTTGGTTTTCCGGTTTTGATGTACGGCCAATGTGCCCAACACATTTGCAACTTGTTTGTAAACAAAGTTATGTTCCAAATAACAGTAAAAGCTTAGAGCGAAACCACCGATGACTTCACTGTCCCTAGAGGATATTCGGGAAGCTTTTGGCATAGTCCATTGAAGATCTGCATGCATTGTTCAACCTGATTTGGACAGAATTAGTGAAGGCTATTACCGCAATGCTTCTCTGTTAAAAGCTCTAGCCTGTACCGCTGGAAGCCGGTTTGGTACTGCGGTCAAGCCTTCCGCACGCAGCTTGCAAGTGCGCGTAATCTACGGATTTTACGGTAGCAAATTAATTCGCTAAGATACGTCTAACTAGGCATAATCGGTCTCCCATTTGTAACTGAAAATGTTGTTTTATGAGACGCCGGACAAAGTTTCCACCAAATCTACAATATATAGTTTTGAATGGCCATAACCCCTAATTTCCACCATTGAACTGGTTAAAACTTTGTGAGAACATGTGGGTGGTCTAGCAGAATAAAACGGCGCTGGAATTACAGGCATATTGTGCATAATTACAAAGATATGGCATCAGAGGTGTATGCATATACTGGTTATCACCTTGTACAGTATTTAGATTAACATGACCAGAGCCGAAGTAGTTGAAACTATGTATGGCTGCTTGACTGATAAAAAAAACTGTAAGTGGAGACATATTATGCCTTATTACAAAGATTTCAGCGAATAAATTTACTACCGTAAAGTTGGTATTCGCGCACTCGCAAAAAATGTGCAGAGGGCTTGGCCGTAGTTTAATAACGTCATGTCTCACGAAGTGGCCATTGTTTAGTTTCGCGTACAATTTTAGATCGAAATGTTTCATCACCTACGGACGGACGTATTCATTACACCTCGACAGCAGCGCGCCGTTACACAGTTCAGTCCTACGTCAGTGTTTCACGACGCTGCGAACGATCTTTCTTCAAGGCTTTGGTTTTGTAATACGAAAAAATGGGAAATACAGCGGTACTTTTAGAAATTATGTTGAATTGCAAAGCATAGTGTGAGTGTACATTTACTTGTTTGTGTGTGTTATAAATACCCCTATTGACGCCCCTGGAAATCAGTGCTACCCACTGAACCACCATGCCGCCTGCTGATATTGACATGTTTGATAAATTATAAAAAGCCACATTAACTTTTCAATCACAGTCCTAGACATGACTTCTTAAGTTTGTTCGGTACTTGTTATGCAGGACGTTCGTCAGTAAAGGTCAAATTATAGCAGTTCAAAGGTAACGACGTGTGTTCGGAAAGTGTGCGCGGATTCATACCTGCGCACTAGGGAATCGCACTAAGTGACCTACACTTGCCGTAGTGTGTCCTTTTTCCTCATTTAGGTGGATAGTGCGTAGTGTATGATTTTGGATGCAGCCTACGTACTTTTTATTTGAACACAAACTACAAAGGAGCGCTTACAGCAGTAGCTTGCCGACGGGTTGACCACAAGCACTGGCGCTAACATGGAAGTTATGCTGAAGTGCAGAAAAAAAAGATTTAGCGGAGCAAATATTGAGCAGATGGAATTATTTTTGTACCCTAATTACATTCAATGCATCAATTAATAAATTTTTTTGCTTGCGTCTCCTTATTTTTCGCAGTGTTTATTAGCGGGATATCATTACATCGTTTTTATATTCTGTGGAAAATGAAAGATCTGCCAGCCAGATTTAATAAGAATCATGAACATATCGCAGGTCATGTACATAAAATATAAATAAAAGACTGTGTCCTGTTTTAATCGCGATCGATCCCCCCAATAACAAACAACTAGGCTTAACAAAACGACTTCTTTATCCTCCACTATTTTGGCATGCCGGTGTAGTTCCGTATGAAATTATGTGTGAAGTTTAACCTACGAACTTTTTGCATCTCCTATGCTTATTTAGCATAGAGGTCTCAGTTCCTGTTGTGTGGTGTGAAAGCGGCACACCGAAGTGGCCAGGAGCTACAGAAGTTCCAGGTCGAGACAGCCTATGGACTTGTGAACTGGGACCAGGTTCCAGAACTTTGGTGTGAAAACGCCTTCGGTTACTAGTGTGAACTTAGTATCGTATAATGCAATTAGGCTTCCATATGTAATGACTGTGCTAGAGAAAAAATAAACAAATTTTAGTAGCTCAAACTAGGATAACATTCCACCAAGTACAAAATTAAATGTTCAGATTTTATTCTTCACAATTTATTTATGGTGCTCAGAAATTATGCGGAAAAAATCATGTAAAAGTCTATATACATTTTCAAATCAGAATCATTACCCATTTGGCCAACGGAATATATTACACATGACATCAACTCAGTTAACTGCAAATCAGTAAGGTCAAACCATTTATTTTACATGCTGATATAGAAAATGTTCACAGTGAAGATCAAGGATGCCAATTTTTGAGATTTTGTGAAACTCAAAGCTGGGGAGCCGGTAATTTCACAGCCGCGAGGCCTTTTGGTGTAGGCCAGGCTCAGCAAGTCTGACCAACTGATCTCCGATCAGCAGAAGCCCTAGGTGGTGCTACAAGCTGGGGAAAGCTGGAGCTTCTTCATCAGATGCTGTTTCATCAGACATCATCTTGTCTGCAGAGACGGCCCCTTATTATAAGTGTAAGGTTATATGTGTCGTATGTTACAATCCAAGGGTGACCTTCAGCTATTCTGAAGGCTAATCAGTTTTGGATTACAGGCTGCTTCCCATTACTTTGGGTACAGATGTCCATCCATCCATCCATCCATTCATTCATTTTCCAAAACCACTTATCCTATCCAGGTCCACGGGGGGGTCCAGAGCCTATCCTCGAGGCTACAGGCAGGGAACAACCAAGGACAGGGCACCAACCCATCACAGGGCACACTCACACACCATTTACAATTTAGCCACTCCACTTAGCCTCAGAATGTTTTTGGACCATGGGGGGAAACGTGTCTTTGGACTGTGGAAGGCAGCCAGGCCAATCAAGAAAAGCCCCATCTAAAAAATCAGAAGTTTCTGGTCGGTATTTTATGACTGAATACCCGCTTGTTTAAGCTGCCTGAGACGGATTTCCAGATCAAAGCAGTTCCCATGCTGCTTCAGTGGACTGTGGCCTGTGAACTTAAATCGAGCAGAGCTTAAGTGCCTGTCGGCCCAGGGAGCACCAGGGTGATGAGCCAGCAGGTGACGTTTTGGTCAGGCGTGCCCAGGACAGCCCGCGGGTACCAGGGAGCACCAGGGTGATGAGCCAGCAGGTGACGTTTTGGTCAGGTGTGCCCAGGACAGCCAGCGGGTACCAGGGAGCGGCGACTCAGGTCAGAGAGCAGCGATTGGCCTGGGCTCTCAGGTTTGGGCTTCTCTCCTCACTCTCAGCCTTGGCCCTTACAGAGCATTAACCCTAACCCTAAACCTAACCCTTACCTGACCATTTTCTTGTACATGGCCAGGGCTTCCTGGGCCACATATCTAATGAAGGCAGGATCCTGGAGCTCCAGCTCTGATGGCACCATGAGGGAGAGCATGGGACAGTTCAGGATGTTCACCTCCACAATGGTGTCTCCACCTGAGGCGTCACCACCCATCTGCACCACCTGAAAACATCATAAGGACTGTGGTCATTTCTGCGGTCAACATTACAGTCATCGTTCCAAGAGCATCATCATTGTGATATTGGTCCTTTCGTGGGCAAGACCAGGATCAATGTTACTATTGAGGTCAATATTATCATTGTTGTCATTATTATCATTAACTGTCATCACCATAATCCCATTATGGTCATCATTACAACATCATCACTACCATCATCTACGATCTTATCCTTGTCACCATCAGTACTGTCCTCATCAGCTGACTGTTGCTTGTTCTAAGATGGTTGTGGTCCCAGCCCAGTATCTGTCAGGGGTCACCTTACAGATGTCGTTCCTGGCTGCCCCTGATACCCAGCCGAGTCACGTGACGCTGGACGATCTGCCGCACCTCCTGGCAGTGCTGACGGGAGAGCTCCAGCAGATGGAAGACCTCACTCAGCTTCACCCACAGCTCTCCAAGGCCTGGACATTCTGGGGGCGAAGGCGCCGAAGTACCCCAGAGTAACACGGCCTCTCTTGCCCTGCCCACACTGCAGCCCTCTCCAGCCTGAAGGTGCACCTTCCACACCAGGACGTTAAGCCCAGTCTCTGCTGTTAGGGCTGCTCAGTATCTCCCGTCTTGGTTTCAGGACATATTTGTGCTACACAGTAGATGAGAGACATTCCATCAGTCATCTACCACAATCAAATATCCCCAGTATGACTTCCTGTGATCTATGGGAAGGTGCCATTGGACATTCAACCTGGCCTAACGTACGTCAGCTAACAAGCCCGTCAGTCATGCCGTTTGATAAAGAAGCACTTGTGGCACTTTATTGCGTGAGCTTACTGTTACTCTCAGGATGCATGTTAATTCTAATGACATAAGATGCATGCAGAAGTAATAGAGTAAAGTTTCAGCTCTGATGAAGTAATATATAGACGGAACCACTGTGCCTTTGCTAACTGGCTAATAAATTGCCTCCCCGAAGTTGGAAATTCACAGGAAGAACGCAGAACAGTCATTCACACAGGCGCAATAATGTTTGTCTTATTAACCGCACGTCGGCTATGTTATCAGCAAGAAGTTCTTTAACAAGTTATGGTTTGGTAGTTAGTTGGCTAGACAGCAGACTAACAGAAGAACAACCACATACAGCCATACATGTCTCTTTGTATTTGTTGAGCATAAGTGCATCTAGCTGGAACACTGACAACAAAATAAGAAATAGGTCTGGAATTATACTAGGATACAAGCCAAAGATTTTTCCGTTCCCGACATGAGGGGTGGGTTGGATGTCCATCCCATTACCCCAGTTATCCCATCACAATCAGCTAGCAGCCCACCCCAGCAAGCCTCATTCTCCAGACAGAAGCTGGTCCATCACAGTGGGCATTTTCACGACGCTAATTCGACTAACTGCATGTTTTGAAACTGTGGGAGGAAACAGAAGTACCCAGAACACCCCCCGCCCCAGACACAGGGAAAATATCCAAACTCCACACATGGAGCGGAGGAAGGTTCGAAGCCCCACCCCTAGAGGTTTGAGACCACAGTGTTACCCACTGAGCCCCTGTACAACATCTCAAGGTTACTGCTTCTTTTAAAATTAGCATTTAATTACCATAGCAATAAAACAAAGGGTTGAAGTACATTAAGTACAAACAAACTTTCCAGAGATTGTTTTTAAGCTCTTTCGTGTAGGAGTGAGACTTTGCACCATTGATGACTGAGTATCACCCATAACCAGTTCCACGGACTGGGAACATGCTCTCGCTCTGTGTCACCTGGGTTTCCCCCACCTACCTCTCAACGACGGCCTCTGGCAGGCCTCGCAGCGGGCCCGCAGCCACCAGCACTCTGACGTCCGTCTGCGCACATCTCTGCACAGCTGCTGAGTCTGTGGCAGTTGGCTGGAGGGTGGTATGGTTTCTGTTCGGGTGATGAGGGTCCACAGTGGCTTGCTGATATGCATCTAGACTCAGATTCGACGACTCATCGCTGTCTTCTACGTAATAACTTCTAAAAGACTTTAAAAGTCTTTCTACATGTTTTCAGTTGGTGGCTTAAACTAGTTTGACTTCTTGTACCTTTGCTTCACTTATTTGCTAACTGAATATTTTCAAAGTATGTGTGTTTAGTGATAGCAGCTTGATTCTGCAAACTTGGGTCACTGGTCCAAATTTTTTAAAGCCCTTAGTATCTTCTGTTGGTGCAGAGTCACAGTTGTGACTCTCAAAATAGCTACCCAGATACTTGGGGAAACATCTGTTCTCTCGCAAAACTGAGATTTAAACTTACTCCTTTGCTTTGCGTAACATAGAGAATGCACAGATAGCTCAGTAAGAGGAAGGTCATGGGATGTTTACAAGGAAAAGAAGAACTTGTTATGAGGCTAAGTCATCGCGCAAAGTACCTGTTGGCAGCTCCATTCCCTCCACAGGTTCGTGCCCCATGTCAAACACCCACTTGGTCACCGAGCTAAGCTCCTGGTATATGTTCCTGCCGAAGTCAAAGAAGGACTCCAGGATGTCCTCGAGGCTGATCCCCTCAAAGAAGCTTGTGTCCAGCGCGTCTGGGGCAGCAGTAGGGCTCTGGGAGTTATTGACGGCGAAGGCTGTCTGGAAAGCCTCACCTAGGTGCTTATGCAGCTTAGTCACGAGCAGAAGGCTCCCGTCATACAGAGCTTTCATCTGCTCCAGCAGCCGGCTAAATGAGTCCTCCATCCTCGGGATTCTCCAGGCTCTGGTTCAGGATCGTGTGCTGGGCGCTCTGCTGTGGGCCAAATATCCAGGTTACCCTTTGAAAGAAGTCCCTCACCTGCAAGAGAGGGGCGGATGAGGTCCCTCGCTGGTGAATGAGTGTAGCAGCGGCAAGAACAGTCCAATCAGAATCCTGTTAGGGGAGCTTGACATGAAGTTAAGTACAGAACCCAGAATATACATTTCTTTCTACTTCATTACTTCCACATATATATATATGAAAGAAGAGATATATGACTCTTTTCATTTCTGTCTTGTGCTCCTCCCCATTCTCCTCCATAACCTCCTTCATCTGCTCCATGCTGTACAGTGCTTTCTTCAGCTCCTCATTCACGTGTCTCTCCCTGGTGAGCGACGGCCCTGAAACGTGGCCGGTGTCACTCCGCTGTGCCCTGTCTGCTACATGATCTACCCCAGGTGTCCGCTTGTCCGATCTTACATTGAAGGTTACAGGCATCAGTGACCACACACTGGGACATCCTAGTAATAATGGTTAAAATCATATCTCATTTTCCTAATTTTATTCAAGGCACAAAAATATGTACTAGGTTTGTCTGAAGAGGCATTTCATCTGTACCACACAACATGAGGCATGCTTTAGATGTATATGTATGTTAATGACATAAAATTTTAAGCAATATTTATTGTTAATTCTTTCTGCTTTCAGGCTAAACCTTATGACTGGGCCCATTGTTGAGCGTGAGTTGGGTTGTTTTGCGGCCAATGGTAACATACTCCTCAGGATCTCCTCAGGAATCGTCTCCTCATGCGTCATGGTGGAGTAGTGCAAAGCTCCCGGAGATGCCAGGAGAAGCAGCCTGACCAGTACAAACCTCATCCCTACGGGTCGGCCAGCGTGGAGAAATGGGTGGAATGTCTGAAGGATGGAATAGCAGGATTTAGATCATATTAGGTTCTTCCACATAGACATTCCACCCAGGAAGACAGGAACATAGAAATAGGTCAGCTGTCCCAGATAGACAGGAACACGCAAACCTCTTTCTCAACACATTTATTCCGTTATTACTTTAAAAAAAATAAAGTAATAAAACGTCTTACAGTTCAATGCATTACCCATTATGTTTCTAAGAAAGAAAACGAGATTAAATATCGCCATCAAGGGTACAACAGCAAAGGGACATCAAACTGGCAGCATTGTGTCCATTCAGCTCAGGTCCAGTATCTTACCGAAGTGGGAGATTAAATATCGCCATCAAGGGCACAACAGCAAAGGGACATCAAACTGGCAGCATTGTGTCCATTCAGCTCAGGTCCAGTATCTTACCGAAGTGGGAGATTAAATATCGCCATCAAGGGCACAACAGCAAAGGGACATCAAACTGGCAGCATTGTGTCCATTCAGCTCAGGTCCAGTATCTTACCGAAGTGGGAGATTAAATATCGCCATCAAGGGCACAACAGCAAAGGGACATCAAACTGGCAGCATTGTGTCCATTCAGCTCAGGTCCAGTATCTTACCGAAGTGGGAGATTAAATATCGCCATCAAGGGCACAACAGCAAAGGGACATCAAACTGGCAGCATTGTGTCCATTCAGCTCAGGTCCAGTATCTTACCAAAGTGGGAATCCAGGTCGAAACCTTGATGTCTAGACCCCCCAAAGCCCCTTTAGCGAATTACACAGATTCACTTACAGTACGTGAGATTTACGACTGTTCTCTGCTAAATTCATGACGGCCAGGTTTTTCCAGCACCATTACATAATTACAAGGCTTTGTTTATATGGAAGAGAAAGTGAGAAAGAACACAGAATTATCAGTGTCCAGGCCTTAATGTTTATTTGGTGTCTAGCTTGAACCATAAAAGCATAAGAGCTGTAATAGGAATCTATTCATTGGTCTGAAAATATTTAAAAATTGCCATGAACCTCCTTTATATATTGACTTTTCTGGAATATCTACAATTCTCACTTAATATACAAATACACAGAGGGGGAAAAGTTTGTTATGCTCAACTGGTCGGTTGAAGCAAAATCTTGGTCTGGATTTATACTTTCTGGACCTGAACTTTCCACCTTTGCAAATTCAGCCACAAATCAAAACCTTAAAACAACAGGATCCTTTAACTCCAAACACACCCACAGCTGCCTGCTGTAGGAACACCCCCCCCCCCCCTAGCTAGCCCCTCATCTCACCTGGTGCTGCAGCATAGGTGATCCCCGTGAAGGTGTTCAGGGACCCCTGCTTTTGGCTGCCCATCCCCTCTGGACACTTTTCACAGCAGCACATTTATACCCCGCATCCCGAAAGGCTCACCTCATTCACCCTTTCTAGCATCTTTAATCCAGCACTTAACACAAACCCTTTGTTAATAATAGGCTGCTGGTAAGTAACATGTGTTTGTGGCAGGTACCATTATACAGTACTTGTCACATGTCAATCAATGTTTGTAAACTTCTGATTGGTGCAATGTCTTATTAATAACTCTGGTCCTTGTGGGGTGTGGTTGCGGCCCCCCATCCTCGCTATCAAGGGCATTCCATGGAGAAATTCACACGCACCCAACACATGCATACGTGTTCAAACACCTCCCCCAAACAGATGAACACACATGCTCCCTTCCAAGCACATGCTACAATTTTGTATGTCTGTATATCTGTTTTATTTTCTTTATTTCTGGTTGTGTCTTTGTATTTATGCTTTTTTGGTTGTATTTCAAATGCGTTTTTTTTTTCTTTCTTTTTTTTCTTGCCTTATGTGCTTTTTACGTTACTCCTGTCTTTCTTAGCCTCTCTGTCCCACTGTTGTCTCCGCCTTTGTTCGTGTTTTTTTGTTTTTTTTCTCTCTTTCCTTCTTTCTCTTTCATTTCTCTCCCTACCCCTTTTCTTCACTCATTTTCCTAATCTAAAAATTGACCAACATGAAGGGCCTATACAGAGTTTATAGAGCCCCTCATGGTAAAGCAAATATGTCTGACACAGCAGTGCATTCAGACCATTATTCTGCTTGCGAAAGCTGCCGGACAGGACACAATAAAATAAAAAAAAATAAAAAATAAAAAATTAATGCGGAGGGGACTGTTTTATATGATTTTCTTTTAAGAAAAATGGTCCACTGATGAACTAAATATGATAACTTATAAATGATGTTCACTTTGCACATTCTTCACTGACAAATACCTGCATCTGCTGACTTTGTTAATAATAATAATAATAATAATAATAATAATAATAATACTGGTCCAGATTCCATGCCTGGTTATGTTCTCACGGACTGTGCCAAGCAACTGCAGGAGATGTTTAACACTTTACCATCTCCCTCAGCCAGGCAGTAGCACCAACTTGCCACCATCATACCTGTGCCTAAGAAAAACAACCCAGGTCCATGAACGACTCATCCCGCGGCTCCCACTCCGACTGTCTCCCACTCCGACTGTCTCCCACTCCGACTGTCTCCCCAGCCTGTCTCCCCACAAACCAGGACCCCCTACAGTGTGCATGCAGAACCGACCGCTCCATAGTTGATGCTACATCCACCACCCTACATCGCACCCGGTCCCATCTGGAGAACCAGGATGCCTCTGCCAGGCTGCTCTTCATTGACTTCAGTTCAGCCTTCAGCACCACCATACCGCAGCAACTGGTGGAGAAGCTGAAATCACAGGAGGTGGATACCGGCACCAGTGACTGGATCCTGGACTTCCTGACACGAAGGCAGCAGACAGTGAGAGTCTGCGCCCACAGATCCAGCACCGTCTTGGGGAATACAGGCTCACGCCAGGGCGCCCTGAGTCCCCTGCTTTCCACCCTCCTTACCCACGACTGTACTGCTAGATTCAGCAACAACCACGTCACCGAGTTTGCGGATGACACTACAGTGGTGGGTCTCATCAGCAAAGGTGACGAGTCAGCATGCGGGATGGAGGTGGAGCAGCTAACAGCGTGGTGCAACCACCACAACCTCCTCCTGAATGTTGACAAGGAAATGACCATAGACCTCAGGAAAGCTCACACAGAACAGCACCCCCCATTGACCACAGATGGCACGGCTGTGGAAAGGACCGGTGCTATCAAGTTCCTGGGCGTGCACCTGGCAGACGGCCTGACTTCGCTCACTAGCACCACGGCAGCTGTCAAGAAGACCCAAAAGCAGCTCCAATCCCTCCTGAGGCTGAGGCAGGCCAGCTACTCATTCCGGCCCTCACCACCTTCTACAGGGGCTCCATCGAAAGTGCTCTGACCCACTGTATCACTCTCTGGTTTGGAACCTGCACAACCTCTGAACAGAAACAGCTGAACGGGATAGTGAGAACATCTGGGAAGATCATCGGTGCCCATCTCCCATGCCTGTTGAATATCTTCAACCAACGCTCCATCTGCAGAACCTCCAGCATCGTTATGGACCCACACCACCCCTCCCCCAGCCTGTTTTCCCTCCTGCTGTCAGGAACGAGATACATGAGCATCCGAACCAGGACCACCGGGTTTCGAAACAGCTTCACTCCCCAAGCTTTGAGGGCAATGGACACTTCTGCTCACCCTCCAATGAATCACTCGCCTCCCCACTGTACCAGGCACTTCTGTTCACTAGTGCAATCTTTCATTTGCACTATTCTTTTCACCTTTGCACCTCTGTACATATAAAAAGACAATCTATTATTTATTCACTTATTTAACAATGCATGCTGCTGCACCCTTAAAAACACACTACAAAAGAGATTCATTTCTAAAAGGATTTCTTCAAATGCACCATGGATCACCATGGAAACGGGTTGTTTGTGTAGTGTGTGTAGTGTCACTTCATAATGCTCCCCTAGTTTTTAGTTTGTAATTTAGTTACGCTGTTGGTCTAGGAGGAACCTCGATCGTACGGAAATGCATGGTAAGATAGCAGTAAAGATATCTATCTATCTATCTATCTATCTATCTATCTATCTAACATCTATATCTATCTATCTATCTATCTATCTATCTATCTATCTATCTCATAAATTGCAGCCTGTTCAGTGGGTGGGTTTCCTCTGTTTTTCTCCCACGGCCCAAACACTTGATATCAGATGAACTACTATCTCTAAATGTCCATTATTGCATATGTGAGTGTGTGGTTTGCAACAGTCTGGCATCTTTCCCACTGTGTTTCCTGTGGCCGGCTCTGGGCTCACCGTAATCCTGCACTGGATAAGTGCTTACAGAAGAAGAATAGGTCAACAGTACACATGCTACACATTGCTGTCACAGAGAATGACTGTCTCTGACATGTTAGCCAAGTTTTGTGACAGACAGTTCAATCGCACTTCCACAAAGGTGTGATAAATTGCAGGCCAGGTCAATACTGCTCACAGCTCCACATTACAGAATTATGTTAAGAAAACTAATTCCCAACCTGCTCCCTGTAACACACTGTGAACCAGAAACTGCCAAGCAGGCAGCTTGGGTCTGACCAACCAATCACGGTCAAGATACATGTCACAGTGCATCTGATTAATCACAGTCTCCGTTTTTAAATTGGGGGGGGGGCTGTCTAGCTACTTACAAGTTTTACAATTACAAACTGCTGGTGGTGTCATGGCCATGGAGGTCATGTAGAGTTAACCCTAACCCTAACCCTAACCCTAACCACCCATCCAGGATTTTCCAGGAGCACCTCGGATTTAGGTCCTCTGTCCTGGAAAAAACTCATTTCATTCCAGGACGCAGAATATGAGCCTTCTGTATATGTAATAACACTTTCATTTTTAATCAGAGCTGTAGCCGATTAATAGAGATTTTACTGTGTCTTTTTAGCCAATGATACAGGCTTAAAAATGTATACTGTGTCCTTAGTCAATCAATTTCACAATAAGACAAGTGCGACATTCGCTGTATAGTCTGTGATGATTGCAGCATCGCAGTTACATAGAAAATTGGTTGCGAAATGGAAGAGGATGACAATGACCAAACAAATCCAGGCAAAAAAAAGTCTTAAATCATACAACGAAGAACAGGAACAGAATAACCTTGTACCAGAGGATCAGTATCCAGCAAAGACTTTGATTTGTACTTTTAGGAAGAGGGGGACTTGACAGGCATACAAACAGAGACAAATACAAATGTTCAATGTATGAAAAAAGAAGCAAAACAATCTCAGCTTTCATGAAAATAATAAGAGATGGGCTTCGTAAGATTGGGACGTGCGGATATGGCCAGCTTGTGTTTAACAAAAGCAAATAAAAACACCAAACCAACCATTGTCTAATAGAGTAAGCTATTACATTATTTAGTGAACAATCAGTTATCAATGCATTGAAAATATTAATTCCAAATTCCAGTTTTATTTGTCACATGCATCATCATATAGTACAACCTGCAGTGAAATGCTTATTGCAACTGCTCCAATTAAATACTGCTAGAAAAAACTGTATAAAAAGAGATATGTATGTATATGCTATGTACATACACTCACCTAAAGGATTATTAGGAACACCATACTAATATGGTGTTTGGCCCCCTTTCGCCTTCAGAACTGCCTTAATTCTACGTGGCATTGATTCAACAAGGTGCTGAAAGCATTCTTTAGAAATGTTGGCCCATATTGATAGGATAGCATCTTGCAGTTGATGGAGATTTGTGGGATGCACATCCAGGGCACGAAGCTCCCGTTCCACCACATCCCAAAGATGCTCTATTGGGTTGAGATCTGGTGACTGTGGGGGCCATTTTAGTACAGTGAACTCATTGTCATGTTCAAGAAACCAATTTGAAATGATTCGAGCTTTGTGACATGGTGCATTATCCTGCTGGAAGTAGCCATCAGAGGAAGGGTAAATGGTGGTCATAAAGGGATGGACATGGTCAAAAACAATGCTCAGGTAGGCCGTGGCATTTAAACGATGCCCAATTGGCACTAAGGGGCCTAAAGTGTGCCAAGAAAACATCCCCCACACCATTACACCACCACCACCAGCCTGCACAGTGGTAACAAGGCATGATGGAGCCATGTTCTCATTCTGTTTACGCCAAATTCTGACTCTACCATTTGAATGTCTCAACAGAATGAGACTCATCAGACCAGGCAACATTTTTCCAGTCTTCAACTGTCCAATTTTGGTGAGCTTGTGCAAATTGTAGCCTCTTTTTCCTACTGTATTTGTAGTGGAGATGAGTGGTACCCGGTGGGGTCTTCTGCTGTTGTAGCCCATCCGCCTCAAGGTTGTGCGTGTTGTGGCTTCACAAATGCTGCATACCTCGGTTGTAACGAGTGGTTATTTCAGTTAAAGTTGCTCTTCTATCAGCTTGAATCAGTCGGCCCATTCTCCTCTGACCTCTAGCATCAACAAGGCATTTTCGCCCACAGGACTGCCGCATACTGGATGTTTTTCCCTTTGCACACCATTCTTTGTAAACCCTAGAAATGGTTGTGCGTGAAAATCCCAGTAACTGAGCAGATTGTGAAATACTCAGACCAGCCCGTCTGGCACCAACAACCATGCCACGCTCAAAATTGCTTAAATCACCTTTCTTTCCCATTCTGACATTCAGTTTGGAGTTCAGGAGATTGTCTTGACCAGGACCACACCCCTAAATGCATTGAAGCAACTGCCATGTGATTGGTTGATTAGATAATTGCATTAATGAGAAATTGAATGGGTGTTCCTAATAATCCTTTAGGTGAGTGTATATTGCACTATAGAACAACACTGAACATGACATGAGAGATTACATTATTAGACATGATTAGAGATTACGTTGCCATGTATTGGGTTATAATTTCTCTATGAAGCACACCTATACAAACCTCTGGAATGGTGTCATTGTGTGCCACGTTTCTGGTCAATGACTGAGTGTCCAGGAATTTTTCAGGACTGAGGGGGCAACTTTAATGTCGTGTTATGTTGAGGTAAAGTGACACCCAAATAATGAATGTAAGGAAAGATTAACTGAAATGCAACAGTGATTTCCCTTTCCTTTAACAGTATAACAATGCAACTTTGCAACAGATGGAGTATCCCATAATGCACCTCACCAGGTTCCTCTAAATTTACATCTGTATGTATTATAACAAGCCGGTAAGGTCGGTTTACTCATATTATAGGAAAAATTCGTGTATGGTATTTTTAGAAATTTGTTTCAGATTGATCTAATAATCAAACAAGTGCCGAAGCTGCAACCGCTAATTAGTTTTCATAAGTGCCGAGTAGGAATATCAGTGTTTTGGCAGCTTTACGTTATTCTACCTTTCAGCAGGTGTACGATTTTTTAATTTAAACGCCTAAAAAGTAATGCAATTACCAATGTTTAATCTGAAGTCAGAAATAATGCATTCGGAATTAGTCTTCGTCAGACGGTCGCGAAATTGCTTCCTCGAGAGTAGTGAGAAAGGCAACGAGAATTTTAAAATGTGTCTTTCAGCAGAGCCAGGATGAGGTTTGATATGGTTTTGTTACCAATGTGAGATGGACCGTTTCAGTGCTGCCATCTAGTGGGAAATAATTCCAATTTATTTTTAGACACCCACGTTGAGACTTTTTTCTAAGTAGTCTATTGCAGGCATATATGCTATTTCACATTTCACCCAGTGTGCTGTGTTCAGGGCTAGAATGGCCATCTGGCATACTGGGCATTTTCCCGGTGGGGGCGATGGGCATGTGGGCTTGTAATGCAAGTCCGGAGCCGAATTTCATTCTCCGTAAAACCCTGGTTGTGTTAAAATCACGTCAAACAAGGTGCATGGCGATTATCTTCTAATGAAAGGAAACAGAGGAGCGCCTATTGAGTATAACGGCTGAAAAGCACTGGTACTACACACGTGTTGTTCATAATATTATTAGTTTAAGGAACAAATTGCAATTTATTGCAACCTTGATGTTCTACATTTTCTGCGATTTTGATCATTTATTAGGGATAATTTTAATATGATTTAATGTTTCTGTCGCATCTGGCCAATGCCTTAATTGTGAAAAGGTGCAGATCATTGTGCTTTTTGTTTCGTCTTATGCATGCTGCAATACTTACAACTGATGCATGCTGCAATACTTACAAATGAAACCTTGTCATATTTAATGCTTATGCTATGCAGGCAATATTGTGACGCGGCGGGTTTGGCCGGTAGCGCTAATCATGCACTGGACAGCATTTCTTGCAGCGCCTTTCTGTAAATAGTGTAAATCAATATGCGCATTTAAGAGTTTGTGTCTGTTTATGTCTGTAATTAGTAATGGTCCTAACTGTGCGATGTTTACTGTGGAATGTGCATGAGGAGTGTGCGATGTGCAGTAAATAGGCTTAGTTGAATAAACATAAATTGCATTATACCAAGGACACTAATTTCTTAAATAAAAAGCACGCAGTAATTGATTGCTTTTTGGTTTATTTAAATCAGATACAAATGCTGTCGCAGCAACTGTGATTTATTAAACAAATCTGAAGACCCGCAGAATTGCATAGTTTCCCCGGTGTGTTGCAATAGCTGTCCACTTCCTCTACCAACACCAAGGCACGGCACATTGGCTACATCCCCTTCGTGCCTCTGGGCTGCCTAGGGGGCGGGGCAATCCGCCGCTCTCTAGGGGATATACGTCACTATGGTTGCTGTGTGGCTGATGTTACAGTTAGCTATCGTGTACAAATCCTTATTGTTGCAGCAGCTTGAGAGTGTTGCCTGTCCGCTTGGCGTTCACAGAGGGAGAATTCACACCCCAAATTCCTCCGAAGCTGCTGCCGGTGGGTATATGTCAGACGCTTACGTAAGTGAGCGCCCCCTACTACTGATGGTACCTGTAGACAGTCCCAACCAGCAGGGATACACCGCCATGACCGGGGTAGTAAACCTGTGGGGCCAGCTGGACCAATAAAATCAGGGTGTGTTAATGACATCACAGGAACCTAAGCATCGCCATAGTAATGCTGATGATGTTGTTGTCTGTCTAGATGAGGCGCATGGCCTGGTCCCCATGGTGGTCCATGGCTTCCCACGCAGAGATGATGGTCAGGAGGCCTGGCGGGAAGTCGGCCAGTTGGCGAGTGGGCAGCACGTCAGCAGTTTCGACATCCTGCAAGATGAGCACGCCACTGCGGAAAGTGGCAGGAATTGGCCACCCTTGCCGAAATTGGTCATATTTTCTGGAAAGCTTGTGGTGAATTTAAATGAGTATATCTTAGTGCCATAGTTTGTATAATGTATAGTGTTGTATGGATCAGACCATGGGTGTTGTTAGGTCCGATCACCCGGGGCTACAGCCCCGAGTATTTTAGCTCTAATGCCAATCGTCCTTCAAAAACACATGTCCCAGGTAAACTCCCTTGGATCAGGCATTGTAGTTTTAGTTATAGCTGTCATGTGACTGTCATGTGACCTATGCTTGGGATCAGTCAAACCTTCACCCTCAGCAGACCCTACTGTGGTTGGGATGCCTCTCTCATCGAGTTTCCAAAGCACATCACAGAGCGGCAATGCATCCGTGTCGTGTCCTTTCCTCTGATCCGTGATGAAAAGAAAGTCACACGGTGTTCGACCCCTGCATTCAGCCAGGAAACACCTGTTGGAGAACCGAGAGTCATGGGAAAAACAGCCTTCGGCCTTATGAGACCCAATTAGGTTTTGTGACTCAATAAAAACACACTAACCATAAACTATATGACATCTAGCACTGGTGGTAGAGGAGTAGGGTGAGTGCTGGACAGGAAGAGAATATGATTGCAGGTCCAGGCATTGCAGAGGAGCAGAGCTCCAATGGGCGTCTTATAGAAACAGGTTCTTGTGTTTGTCTTTTGTGCACGGATGGCCAGCATGGTGTCTGGGAAGAAGGTGAAGTTGGTGCTGTTGGAGGTCCTGCAACTGGCTGGACTGAGCGTACCCGTACTGGTGGTGATGGAGCGCTTTGCCTCCCTCATTTCCCAGCTGAAGAGTGACGAGCAGCCACCCGGAGACCAGAGCACCGCGTACTGGCTGATCGTCGCCGCCTCCATCGCCTACGTCGCCACGGTGACCCTGCTGGTCTGGCTTCCCGCAAAGTGCCTACTGTACCGCCGTTCAGGACCGTTCTGTGAGAGGACCACCTGGTGAGTATGTAGGAGGAGTGGCAGGGTGGCATGGTGGCGTGGGGGAGGCTGATGTTTGCTCCTGATTTTGGTTGTGTGTCCAGAAGCTGGTGCTGTGTAGGCCAACCAGAAGATCTCAACAGCTAGCTTGAAATGTTTCTGGAAAAAATTTCCCAAAGTACAAATGAATAAATTACTCATTGTTTTAGCATGTCACAATAAGCAAAAATGATACAAAATAATATGGTCTGCTACGATAATTAATGGGTTAAGAGGTGGGATTAAGTATTTACATTTACATTTATTCATGTAAAGTGACATACAGATGAGGCAGATATGACAAGCACACAAAGGTCAAGAAGCCAACTCAGGTACAACAAATGCAAGGTAGTTATGGGAATGAGAACTGTATACCTAAGATAAGAAGCATTGTGGTTTAACATGCAGAATGGAATGGAGACCTTCTCAGTATGATTCCTAGACCTTTTGAAGGTGGACCAATGCTCCCTTTTCAGGAGACCGGTGACCCTGGCATATGTCATCCTGTCTACCTTGCCATGCTTCGCCTTTCTCATCGCCAGCTCCCAGGTAATGATGCTGACAATGTTTCCTCACTGCTCTCCACATCCATCCATCCATCCGTTCATCCATCCAATTGCTTATCCAGCATAAGGTCACAATGAGTCTGGAGTCTACCCCAGCCAGCCCTGGGTACCAGGGGGATAGTCTGAACAGATTGGATTGATGCCCTATCCAGCCCCTTCTCATCAGCAGGGTTTGATCACTTATCACCTGGTGTTTCTCCGGCGTGGGGGGCAGGGACGGCACAATAAGGAAATTTCACTCCATGAAAATACAGGCTTTATAGGTCATAAAGGCGTAAAATATTTATGGTATACTGCCAACTTGTTAAAGGAACAACCGTTGAAATAAGTTCTAAACAAAAACCTAAATATCCCTGCTCAGCACTGCATGCCTCTCTGTCCGTTTACTGAAAGCACCCACTAGTTTCAGCTTCCAGTTGAAACGTGTGAGTCAATCATTCAGCAAACCGCTGTGGGTGCCAGGTGCCGGGCGTCTCCTGGCAACGCCCCCCAGACCGTGGCTCAACACCCCTTGCTCAATCGCAAGCTCAACTGCCTGGGTAAAATCTCGCCTATACCAGAGCTGTCCGGCTGCTCTTGTGATTGTTCAGCCGTTTGGCCATGTGAGCCAGCTGGCGTGAGCAAAGAGAGCATATTACTGCATTCCAGGTCAGTAAGTATAAAGGGTGCAGAGCGGATGCAGGCCCAGACCCATGCCTGACCCAGAGACCCTCCTTTGCGTCTTTTCTTGCCGGAGATGCGTGAGGTCACTCTGCCAACCATCGCCATAAATAATAAATGCACAATGAATGCAAATAAATTTCACCTGCACCTGTTTTTTCTAACAGGTACAGGTTCATTTTAACAAACTGTATGACACCTTCTGTGAGCTCCCCGCGTCCCTGATTCTGCTGTCCCTGATTGCGGTTGATATCGTGGAGAGGATTCGGCCATGCCGGCTCACGGGGTCAGGTAAGCCTCGCTGGTGTCCCTCTGCGAACTGCTCCCTCCCGACTCAGCTGGACGTCCCTCTCCCCTGCAATGAGCCTTTTCAGAACAAACAGGGAATTGCTCAATGTGTCAGAAAGTTTTGCCCGGTGTCAGGGTTCCTCTTGAGACTGGAGGGTCACATGCATTCTGCTCATAGCAGTTGACCTTTAATTCACCCTGTGACACCAAAATACATTGTGTTCTCTATACACTTATAGTTCTTAAGGATTACTGTTGTCTCACACTGCTACTTCAAGACAAGATTTTAATTTATTTATTTATTGTCCAGCAGCATAACAAAAATAGGGCTTTCGGGTACAATGATGTGACAGGGAGTTTAGGGTATAGTGATGTGGCAGGGGTTTGGGGTGCAATGATTTGGCAGGGGGTTTGGGTGTAATGATGTGGCAGGGGGTATGGGGTACAGTGATGTGGCAAGGTGTTTGGAGTGCAATGATGTGGCAAGGTGTTTGGAGTGCAATGATGTTGCGGGGGGTTTGTGGTACAGTGATGTGGCAGGGGGTTTGAGGTACAGTGATGTGGCCAGGGGGTTGGGGTACAGTGATGTGACAGGGGTTTTGGGGTACAGTGATGTGGCAGGGTGTTTGGGGTGCAATGATGTTGCAGGGGGTTTGTGGTACAGTGATGTGGCAGGGGGTTTGGGGTACAGTGATGTGGCAGGGGGTTTGAGGTACAGTGATGTGGCCAGGGGGTTGGGGTACAGTGATGTGGCCAAGGGTTGGGGTACAGTGATGTGACATGGGTTTTGGGGTACAGTGATGTGGCCAGGGGTTTGAGGTACAGTGATGTGGCCAGGGGTTTGGGGTATAGTGATGTGACAGGGGGGTTGGGGTACAGTGATGTGGCAGGGGGTTTGTGGTACAGTGATGTGGCAGGGGGTTGGGGTACAGTGATGTGGACAGGGGTTTTGGGGTACAGTGATGTGACAGGGGTTTTGGGGTACAGTGATGTGGCCAGGGGTTTGGGGTACAGTGATGTGGCCAGGGGTTGGGGGTATAGTGATGTGGCAGGGGGGTTGTGGTACAATGATGTGACAGGGGTTTTGGGGTACAGTGATGTGGCCTGGGGTTTGGGGTACAGTGATGTGGCCAGGGGTTTGGGGTACATTGATGTGGCCAGGGGTTTGGGGTATAGTGATGTGGCAGGGGGTTTGTGGTATAGTGAGGTGGCAGGGGGTTTGGGGTACAGTGATGTGGCAGGGAGTTTCCACTATGCACTTCCTGAAAAAGAATGTACCAAGTCTTAATTAATAGTTAAATACAGCAATCATTAAGAGTTACTGCTTTTTAATGATTGCTTAACTGTTTAAATGTTTTATTCCTCTTTTTAATGCTGTTTTTAAAGTAATGTTCTTTCATTGTCTGTATGCACTTTGAGATTTTCTCTGTAAAATGTAAAGTGCATTACAAATTAAATGTATTATTATTATATTATTATTATTAGGAAACTGTCACTGGTTTCAGTAATACATATGCCTACAAGCCCAGAGCTGAAATATTTTATAATAATATTTTTTTACCTTCCAAGATGTTTAAACAGAACATGTGGTTATTTGGCACTGACTGCTGTTGCTTTTTGTTGCACAGATGATTTGCTGATGGACGCTTGTTTCCTCTGCCCCATGGTAACGCCCCTGGAGCAAGTTTCCACTGTGACGGGCCAGCTCGACGCCCCTGGAGACCGGAGCTGGGCTGGAGATGGACCTGGAGCCAATGGATGGGCGGCTGCCCACAGTCTGGCCACCGGGCGGCAGAGCTCCGCGGCTGCCAGCGAGGCCTGCTGGGAGGGACCTCTGGGCCGGCTCTGCGCGGCAGACCTGCGTGCTGAGCTCGTCGTCCAAGCCTTTCTGTTTTGGCTCGATTCTGCCGAGATGCTGAGGGTGGTGGCCTTGCCCCCCGTCTACCTGTCCGGCTGGGTCTTCCCTATCTACATCGTCAGCTACCTGTCGTCCTTACGTGTCGTGGCTGCACCGCACAGCCCCTGCCTGTCAGCTATGGGTGTCTGGCTGCAGGACCTGCCCTACCTCATCCTGCGGGTCAGCCTGACCGGCACCTTCGGCCTGATCACCCCCGTGCTCTACCTGGTGAAGAACCTTCTGGTGACCTTGGCCTTCATATACTTCAATTATATCACCAAGCTAAAAATCTTCAACACGGGACATATGTTCTGATCCCCCCCGTGGTGGGGGGGGGAGGGGCGTATTTTGAGTGCAAAGCAAACTTGCGGTTGGCTGTCTGGGTGATGATTCCTCTTTTTGTATTTGTTTATTTTGTTTTGTTCAGGATATGCTGTATACTCAGGGAGAGTATACTCAGAGAGTTTGAAATTGGGGGGAGGGGGGGCACAGCTTAATAATGTAAATGCAAAGGTCTATTTATTAGGGGTGGTGATTGAAGCCAAAATAAATACCGGGGGTATACACGTCCCCCTGGCTGCTCTGCCCCTGTGTGCTGTATTGCTTGAAACCTGCATGTTATACACGTCCCCCTGGCTGCTCTGCCCCTGTGTGCTGTATTGCTTGAAACCTGCATGTTATA